TGCTCCCTCTCCCCCGAATGGAACTCGGGGCAGCTAACAGCATATAAAATACACCTGATAAAAACAATACAAATGATAAAATAAACTTTAAAAATATAAATGATTAAAAACCTCTCCACTATCAAGCAGGGTAGGATTTGTGGATGATGAAGACACAGCTGAAGCATACCAGCTACATGTTGGATCACAATAAATTAAAGGGCACCCAAAAAAGGGCAACCTTGCATGCCCTGCGGAACCTAGGGAGGTCCCACAAGGCGCGTACTTCTTCAGGCAGCTGGTTCCACAGAACGGGGGCCACTACTTGAGAAGGCCCTTGCCTTTGTTGACACAAGGTGGATCAGGGACCTTCAGTAAATGCCGAGATGATGATCGGAGAAGATGGGGAGGATCATGCCAGGAGACGTGGTCCCCAAGATATGAGGGTCCCAGGCTGTTTAGGGCTTTAAAAGTAAGTACCAGCACTTTGAATTGGCACTGGAAACTAACTGGGAGCCAGTGCAGCTGCTGTAAGGTAGCTGTTATATGCACTGACTAAGAACAACACACCCAGCAGGTTTGCCCCAGGTATAAAATGCTCTTTGTTTCCCATTGTTGGTGTTTCTGGAAGGCTTATTTATTCTGGCTTCTTTCCACTCATAAGTCTATTTGCATGGGTCTAGGTAGAAGCTATTTGGCAGAAAGATTGGGAGCAACATCTTGATGTTTGATTTCTATTCCTACTGCAGGTATACAGTTTATGCATGGCCAGAGCTGTGAGCCCTTGGGCATGAATGAAGGGCAAGAGCCAAATGGCACTTTTGTTCTTAGCCTGGGGCTCATAGCCTGGGGCTTTGAATAAGCCAGCCACTGAATCCAGGATCAAACAAAGACATAGGGTTTGGGGGCGGAAATCATATATATCATATTCTTTGTGGTCATAGGACACTTTAGGTATCTTCTGGGAGAAGAGTGAAGTACAAATATTTAAAACAATCAGTATCTACTTAATTAATGTGCTTTTCATCTGTGGCATCTACCCCATATAAGTTAGAAACTAATGTACCTCTTCCCTATTGTTTGTTTCAGCATCTGAAATTAACAAGTATACCGCCACTGAACATGGAGGTTCCAATTAGTGATAATGTCTGATGGCCAGTTCTAAGACATATTCTCCATGAATTTGTCTATTTTATTAAAGGAAGCCTTCTTCCCTTTAATGGAGTCCTTTGCTGGTTAACCACACTGGTGTCCTCTTTGTATAATTGGAACAATTATTGTAGATTTAAAGAGCTGACGAACATCCTGAAAAGATACAATCTTTACTCTCTCTTTCCATTTCCAATGGACAAAACCTCTCACTCTTTTGGGAGGGATGTTTTCTTTTCTGTAAATCAAATGTAGGACATAAATGCTTAACTTAAATGTATGGTGGTCACTGTTCAAAAGTAGATCAACAATGCTTACATTTTGCACCAGGTCCTAAGCATCGACCAACACCAAGTTCAGGTACCAGGTTCCCTCCACTCCAGTCAGTACACAACTGACTGTTCCAAGACACAGTGGCTTATGATATCTGAATATGATGCTGCAATGTTTGTCAACCAGAGAATGGAATTTACTGTGTCAATGAGATAAGAAGAGGAGATTGGATTTATACCCCACCCTTCACTACCCAAAGGAGTCTCAGAGTGGCTTACAAACTCCTTTCCCTTCCCTTCCCTCCCCACAACAGACACCCTGTGAGGTAGGTGGGACTGAGAGAGCTCTGACAGAAACTGCTCTTTTTTCAAGAACAGCTGTGCCAGAACTACGGCTTGCCCAAGGTCATTCAGCCAGGTGCAAGTGGAGGAGTGGGGAATCAAACCCGGTTCTCCCAGATTAGAGTTCACGCACTTAACCGCTACACCAAACTGGCTGAGGGTAGCTGAGATCTCTCGTTTTTGCAACATTTCCCACTATAGTCACCTTCTTTATATCTTTTTTTAATCTTAAGATCCACCACCATGTTCTGGCCAGGCTGATAATACTATATCCTCAGTTTTAAGCTACCTGTCGGGCCTGTTATCTTGACTCATAGCGCCACCCTCCTATGTTTTCTATCCTTATGCCCTTTTCAAAATACAGAGTAACACCAGCACCAGGTCCAGGCAGGGGATCCCCCGGTTTCAGGGGCTTCTCCCTGCTGCAGACCAGGTTGGCCAGTCGGGGGGGGGGGGGGTACGCCCCTCAAACGTTGACTTAATATTGATCTAAACATATTAAGTTTTGTTTCACATCCCAGTTCTTTTCCAGATAAATTTTAAAGTCATTCCATTCTCCAAAAAACTCATCGTCTTCTTTGTTATTCAGTTTTTTTGTAATCTTATCCATTTGTGCCATGAACAGAACTTTTTGTATCCATTCTTCAACCTCTGGTACCTTTTCTGTCTTCCAAAACTGAGCATAAATCATTCTCGCTGTCACTATCAGGTACCAGAGGAAGTGACATCATTGTGCCAGGGACGTCGTGTGGGGACTCTCTGTTATTTGGACAAACTCTGTGGTTTGAGGGCAAAAAACCAGAGTTTTGCCCAAATACCAGAGTGTCCTCATGCAATGCCCTCTGACGCAATAACATCACTTCTGGGAACGCCCCCCAAATCCCCCCACTGGAGCAATGAGGGGACCTGGCAACCCTAGCACCAGTAGAATTTCTGTCTGGGGATAACTGTACTGATTTTCCTCCACCAGGTTTCTGAAATGCCTGATATATCTGTGTTCACATTTAGCAATGAGCCCTCTAGCTCCCCTTCCGCATGCAAAGCAGTTGTTCTACCATGGCCCCACCCTTCTCCTCAGTATTGCTCTCCTGTGATATGTATTTTCTATTACTAATAGGTTGTTTACAATAGATTGTGGGGACTTTCAAAAGGAGGACCATACTCTCCATATAACTTTTTGTCCTATAGAAAAAATTAGTAATGCAATAAGGATGTTCAGTGATTAACGGTTAATGATGAAAGTGTCTCCACAAGGTCCACTTTGGTACAGATAGGGATGAAGGAGGGAAAAAAATGAAACATTAACAGTTTAAGCATACTGTTACCTAGTATATTCCCAGGGCAATAAAGTGGTTGTGACTTCATCAGTGATGATAACAAGGCTCAGAGAGGCCAATTAAGATCTCTTGGTAGTAGTAGACAGTGTGTCATATTCAGGAGGCTAAGGGTTGGCTAGTGGCCTAAACATGTCTCACTATGGGGGCTGATTTTGGGTTTTTTAAATTATGAAATGGAGGGAAGACGTGGCAGTTTAGCACGGGCTTCGTCTCACATGGAGAACTATTTGATATCAAGTAAGTATTTGGCCCTTATGCTTGCCTTTCTGTCTAACCATGATTCCAGGTTTTCTTGAATTGCCAGGTTGCCCTGACCTAGATGGCCCAGGCTAGGCTGATCTCCTTGGATTTTAGAAGCTAAGCAGAGTAGGCCCTGGTTAGTACCAGGACGGGACACTACTAAGGAAGTCCAGAGTTGCTATGCAGAGGCAGGCAATGGGAAACCACCTCTGCATGTCTCTTGCCTTCTAAACCATGAGGTTTCATAAGTCAGCTGCAACTTAACAACACATAATACCCAAGTTGAAAAGGGCACTTTTTCCTCTTCTGTGCCATTTGCTGCAGGCTTTCTCGCCTCATTCAGTATCGGCTTCACTGTCATTGATCACTCACAGTCACTCTCTGAATAGTTTGTCTTTTTGTTGTTCTTTGTGTCATTTGCCAAATGTATCTCACATTTTGTTCTTTTGCTTTTCTTATGTTTTCCTCTGCTGCTATCTTATACACCTCTTCATACCTCCTTCATCTTTTATTTCTTGTAACCTTCCAGTCTGTTTTCTAGATCACAAAAGTCGGGGGGGGGGGACAACTCTTCACTGAAACAAACAAACAAAATCTATTTACTGATTTCTTCTTATGTTTGGGAGAGTGTAAAATATTGGAACTACTGGCACGTGCATTTATACACAAAAGCCTCCACATTTAAAATTATACATACAGCAGGGAGATGTGTATTTGTCATAAACTTGCTCCCACAGCCATATGTGAGGATGACTTGTGTTATGTTCTAAGCTATTGTTGTTATACCATTACTTTTGAACTTGGTATCGTAATCCCTGCATTACTATTGGTTAAGAATAGAGAGTGTTCATTGGTCCTAAGCCAACTGGAAACTACCAATCGCATTGTTCTGCTTAGGACCAATTAAGCCTGGGGCACAGAGTTACAATGTTGTTGTTGTTCACTATGCAATGGTATAAATATGGAAGAAGCTGCAGGCATTCCTTGTTGAAGTCCTGAAGCAATGTTGAATAAAGGTTCTGTTTTACGGTTCATCGTCTCCCGCTTCAATACTTGAAAACTTGCTTTCCACAGGTCATGTGTGAGCCAACATTTTATTACAGTGTATTTTGGTTCTGAATATACAGTAAGCATTTAGACAAATCGGGGGAGATGAACAGTGTTCTTTTGTTGTTGTTCAGTCACACAGTCAAGTCCGACTCTTCATGAACCCATGAACCACATCACTCCAGGTCCTCCTGTCTTCTGTTGACCTCCGGAGTTTGCTCAATTTGTTCTTAGTACTGTATTAGTACTGTATTTTCTCAATTTGTTCTTAGTACTGTATTTAATCAAATGCAAGGCTACGTTTTTCCCCCATAAAAAGATGGGGTCATCGTAACTTTGTATACAAGTTACAGTAATAAAAATGTTTTGTTTAGAACATTTTTTAGCAGGGACGTCTCACATTCAGGGTCATCTTCAAGTAAACATGAATAATCTTCTTCTAGGCTTTGTCTGTTAGTTAAAAAGGCACTCCTAAATCCATGTCCTGTTCTTGGGCATGTCATTCTGAGGATCTGTCTGCAGATCTGTGATTCTGTTACATAATGATTTTTCCATATTTGACTCAATGTGATAAGACCTAGTGCTGGAAACCTTATTTACCAAGTCTTTATTTCCCCCCTCCCTTTTCTTGTAGAGTTCCTGCTGGGGACTGTGTGGAAGGATGGCAGCAGCAGAACCCTTGACTGCTTTCTCCCGGTGGTACCTCTATGCCATTCATGGCTATTTCTGCGAGGTGATGTTCACAGCTGCCTGGGAGTTTGTGGTCAATTTCAACTGGAAGTTCCCAGGTGTCACCAGTGTATGGGCACTCTTCATCTATGGCACTTCCATCCTCATTGTAGAAAAGATGTATTTGTATCTGAAGGACAAGTGTAACATACTAGTGCGCTGCCTCATTTATACTCTGTGGACGTATTTATGGGAGTTCACCACTGGCTTCACTCTGCGTCAGTTCGATGCCTGCCCTTGGGACTATTCACAATTTGACTTGAACTTCATGGGCCTCATTACTCTGGAGTATGCCATTCCATGGTTCTGTGCAGCATTTATCATGGAACAGCTGGTCATCAGAAACACACTACGTTTACGGTTTGATGAGAATGCTGAACCAGGGATTCCCACTGTTCCCATAACCTTGGCCAATGGCCATGTGAAGACTAATTGAATAGTAACTTAGGGCTGCACTTTGACTAAAAGGACTCTACTGCCCCCTTCATTAGAGACCTGTAATGATGGCTTCAAAAGCAAAACTCCTGCTTCCTGTATGATAAAGAAACCTCCTTCTGTTGGAGGTATGCATGAAAAAGTGGAACCAGTAGATTTTCTATGGATTTTACTTTTCTGTTTTTTAAACTGCAAGTAGCACTGCCAGCTACCTGTTGGCTAGATAGTTTCTGACTTGTAACTTACTATATGAACAGTCCTATTACCTGCATTTTACTGCATATGTAAAAAAAGAGAAATGCTAGTATAGCTTGTACGGAAAAAAACAACAACACACAAGTTAGTAAATTGGCACAGATGCCCCTGTTAACTTAGTGATTGGCTTATATTCCATTAGGCAATATTCAGGTGCTTGCTTGCAACCAATACCTCCCATGGGACCTGAGATGCTGCAGGGTCAAGGAAGAATCAACAGCTGTTGAGATAGCCCAACAGTGGCAGTCTACTAGGGAGGTAGAATCTGCCCTCTTGTGTGCTCCTCCTAAGGCTTTTTTATTGCACCATAGCGTATGGTATTATGGTGCTGGACATCTTGCAGGATTTATATAAAAAAAAGATTACTTTTCAAATCATCCATTCTGATGCTCATTACAGAGCTTGTTCTCCCATTTCCATCTCCCCCTCCCCCCCTCCCTCTCTCTCTCTCTCTCCCCCTCCCTTAAGAGGATACCTGTTCTGCTGGATTAATGTTATCGTTGTATAAGCTGCATTTTGGTCAAGTGGTCAGAAGTGGGAGGAAAATGGCTGAAAGTCTTCCCTGCTTCTTATCTTTACTCTTTGTAGTGGAACTCAACAGAAGGGCTGCTTCAGGTCTGATTCTTGCTACCCCCTTAGCCACTGTTCACATCACCAGGATCTTCTCTCCTTCCCAAGGAATTCTGTTCCCCATGATACTGATGGCTATAAACATGGACATGATCCTGGGATTCAAGTCGTCATATGGCAGCTGGATTCATCAGGAATTGGAATCCTGAAGGACAGACTATATATTCCTTGTGTTTATTATTTTCTGTCTGCACTGATTTGATCTTATCTAAGTCTGCCTAGTGTTCTCCAGGTACTAATAGCAGTATTAGTAGTGCAGCCGGTTATCTTTGTAAAACGATTTGTGAGCAGCAGAACTGCCTTATAGTAGGGAGCACTATAGGATCACTTTCTTCCAGATGGGTTGTGACAGTACAGCAAGGGCTGAAGGTTCCGCCATAGAGCACACTAAGCTTGAGGGAGGTGTGAAGGTCCCAAGCAGGTGTATAGCAAGAAATTATAATGAGAAAGATGGATGGTATCTAGTGGCCACCAAAGAATATTTCTCCCCCCCCCGAGGATTCTTGGGCTGCTTCAAGTAGAAAATGTGTAATAGCCTTAAGAGGAGGGTATGTTATAACCAGGCCTCCTGGACCAGAAGAATTCCAAGTATCATTTGCACTGAATGGAATGGAATTGCACTAGCAAAGAGGTTGGGTTTGTGATGTGAATGTCCTTATGTGGCTGCAGAGCTGCTTCTGTTTTTTGTTAAAGATGTGGCTGCATAATTTGTTTGGCTGGCCATTGTTTGCTTTATCAGTCTGATAACAACTGTTTGTTGCTCCATTCTCAGAAAAAGAAAGATATCCTGCCACTCTGGATGGGCTCTACATTGTTTTAGGAATAAGAATTGCATTTACTTGTCAGAGTGTGTGATTGCTTTGTTCCTTTCCCTCAGGTGTGCTATCCATTGCTGGCGATGGATGGGCAGAGACAATGGCCCCTGGAGCTCAGTCACATCCATCCTGTGATTGACAGCAGGCTCCTGAAATACTCAGAAAACTCACAGAGAGATTTGTTCTCTTTTTATAGTTCTAATGTTTAAAAAGTAACTACTAAATCAAACTGTGTTTCCCATCCAGTATGGTACCATACATAGAGACTTCATATATCAGCAATGCAACAGTAGTCAACTAGAGTGGAAAATAAGATGGAAGGTCAATTTGCTGATGGCATAATTATGCTCTTAAGCCCTCTTTGTTGTTAATGGGGCATCCTGAATACTGTGAAAACAAGCATTCTCTTAGCATTTCTCTTCTATAAGCTTCTCTTCTGCACCCAAAAAGGCAAAAGTAACTTGTAAAGGTATTAGACATTGCTGGTCTCCCCCCCCTTCTTGCCCAGATACGGAAAGAAAAATACAAGTATTCTGTAAAAGGAATAGTGCAACGAGGAAATCTGGTATCCCTATACTTCCTGATAACCACTGTCTATGGAAGAAAGCATAAGGCCGAGTAAGTGCATTCTCACCACTAACTAGTCACTATGTACTTTCAGTAAGTTTGAACACACAATTCTGTTTGTTTTCCATTCCTGCCTTGGCCAGTAGCACAACCATGTGCTCCTTTGTGTCTGTATTCTTATCCTAAATAGCACAGTTACTTAATGGCTGGGCAACAGTTGCTTACACTAAAGAATGGCTTCTGGCCTTCAGCCTTTAGGCATCTTCTACAAATGAGCTACGTTTTCCCTTGGTGCATTAACATGGCACCACCTAAAGCTTATTTTATGCTATTATCTCTGATTGTACTCTGAGATGTGCCCTCAAGGGTCTGTAATTTTCACACAGAAGTGCACTTTATTTGCAGTTTGCACACCAGGAACTGAGCTGGGCCTCATATGGTCATCTTTCCCCATGTAGCCCTTGCCAGATGTTCCATTGAGCAATCAGCAATTGTCTTTAACAGCGTTTTGCAGCCTCTACCAGTCACTGTAGCAGACCCTGTAGATCTCCTTACTCTTTTTGGAGGAATGCAACTCACTTGCATCCAGAGATTCTACCCATTTTGCTTTATTTCCTTTATTTTTCAGTTCAAGTGAAAACTACTGATGTTATTTTGCAGCCGGGTTGCTTAAACCACACAGCAATGACAACCACATTGCTGCCAACAGTTGCCTAGAAGCTGTGCAGCAGAGGAAGCACTTGCGTATAAAAACGCACACAATCCTCAGTTAAATATTTGCTTGTACGTGTATCTTCCTCAGTAAATTAAAGTTGCCTGTTTGAATTCACCAGCAATAAAAACTTGTGGTTTGTTTGGCTTTGCCTTCTCACTCTCTCTCTCATAAGGAGAACTTGGTTTATGCTTGCATTGTTGGAGAGGGGAGGGGGGCTTATGGATTTGCTCATGCACTGCTTTACACTTTTTTGTAGCACCTTCTTAAAAAATAATATTTCAATGGCTCACATGCTCACACACAAACAATATGTCTATGTCTATCACATTAATGCATCAGCATATTATCCTGATAATTTTGATAAACTGGAAGAAAGCTTCAACATCCTGTTTTGCTGGCAAGGGCTGAATCTTGTACGAATCCTGCTTGAAAATTTTCCTACTTTTATAGTGTGTTTGAAGCCCCTGTATAATTAATTGTGACTTTTCCATGAAAATGTGTATCATCAGATACAATGAAGTTTAGACTAACTGTGGTTAATAAAACTTAACTAACCATAGTTAGTGGAGTGGCTTGCAGACAATCCCATCAGCCATAATTAGTTTTAACAAGCCACTGTTTGGCAGGTGGTCTGCACTGAGCCGGCATATGGTGTAGGGGTTAGAATGTCATGGCTAGGATCCCAACTCTGCCATGAATGCCTGCTGGGTGACCTTGGGCCACTCATGTTCTCAGGCTCACTTATTTCTCATGGTTGTGAGGATAAAATTGAGGGGGGATAATGCAAGCTAGGGTTGCCAATGCTCCCTCTCAGCTGTGGGGTCTTGTGAACAAAAATTCTACTTTGTGACCTACTGGCATTAAAGTTGCGAGCAAGCGATTTGGCTGCTGCATGAATTAGTTTGCTCTGGAGCCATCCTTCCTGAGCAAAGATGTGTGAGCCAGAGGCTAAAAAACTGTGAGCTAGCTCACACTAACTCAGCTTAGAGGGAACACTTGCCACCCTCCAGCTGGGGCCTGGAGATCTCCTAGAATCAGTTGATCTCCAGATGACTGAGATCAGTTCCTCTGGAGCAGATGGCTGCTTTGAAGGGTGGGCTCTATGGCATTATATCCTGCTGAGGCCCCTCCTCTCTCCAAATACTGCCCTTCCCCAGGCTCCACCCTCAGATCTCTAGGAATTTCCCAACCTGGTAACCCTAATGCAAGCTGCTTTAGATCTTCACGGGGAGTAAAGCAGGGTATAAATATATAAAATATATGACAATCCTTTTCCCTGGCTTCACACCTTTATTTTCAGACACTACCTACAGAAGCAAGTTAAAAATTTGAACCCCAGGTTCACATATACTCTAGATAAAGTCGATCGTGGCAGTGGTGGGTGAACACATGAAGCTGCCTTATGTTGAATCAGACCTTTGGTACATCAGATTCAGTGTTGCCTACGCAGACTGGCAGTGGCTTTCCAATGTCTCAGGCAGAGTTCTTTCACTTTACCTATTGTCAGATCCTTTTACTGGAGACTGAAGCTGGGACCTTTGGCATGTCAAGAAGATTTCTCTTCTACTAAGCCACAGACTCTCCCAATCATGAGTGACAGTGACACCCTATGCAGAGTTACTCTAGTCTAAGCCCATTGATGTCAGTGTGCTTAGAAAGGAGTAGCTCTGAATTGCACTGTATGTCTTACTAAAGCCAATAGAACAAGTTAGTCATGACTAACATAAATCGTATTGCTTTCAATGGCACTTAACTTTAGGGAGACTGCAAACCAAACCAAAGCCCAACTCTTGCTACTAGTAGGAAGGTAACACAGTCACAGCTGCTAATGTGATGAGAAGAGGTACAGGACCGCACAGCCTGCAGCAATAACAGCATATTGGTGAGGATTGCATTGATGCTCCATGCCTCAGGGGACTGAAATATGAGGTGAGCTGGCAGATTGCTTCCCATGTTATGATTTTAAATCACAGATGGTGCCTACCAGTTTGCAACTGTAATGTGGAAAAGATGTATATGTCCATTCACTAAGAGGAGGCAGCTGATAATCTGGCCTGGAAGGAGAATGGCAGACCCTCAGTCTGTTACAGAAGATGCCTGTGTCTGTCCATTCCACAATTCTCCTAGAGATGTGAGTTATGAGTAACTTGTCTTCTTAGCCAGCATGGTGTAGTGGTTAAGAGTAGTGGACTCTAATCTGGAGAACTGGGGTTTGATTCTCTGCTCCTCCACATAAAGTCTGCTTGGGCCAGTCACAGTTCTCTCAGAACTTTCTCAGCCTCATCTACCTCACAAGGTTTGTGTTGTGGGGAGAGGAATGGAAGGTGGTTGTAAACCACTTTGAGACTCCTTAATGTAGAGAAAGGTAAAGGTTCCCTTGCTTGAAAGCCAGTCGAATCCGACTCTAGGGTTGTGGTGCTCATCTCCGTTTCAAAGCCGAAGAGCCAGCGCTGTCCGAAGACGTTTCCGTGGTCATGTGGCCGGCATGACTAAACAAGGCGCACGGAACACTGTTACCTTCCCACCGAAGTGGTACCTATTTATCTACTTGCAATTTCTTGCTTTCGAACTGCTAGGTTGGCAGGAGCTGGAACTAGAGATGGGAGCTCACTCCATCATGCGGCACCCGGGTCTCGAACTGCTGAACTACTGACCTTCCACAGCCTGCAGTTCAGCGTCTTAACCACTTGAGCCACCGCAGCTCCAATGTAGAGAAAAGCGGG